GTTTGGGCGGTGGATGCAAAGTGAGGAGAGAGAGTGGGTGTAAAGTGTTTGGTGGTGTAAAATGGATGAAAAGAAAAAATAAAGAAATAAAAGAAGAAAAGTAAAATGGGTTTGTGCAAAAGCGTGGAGGAAGTTGCAGATATAGCCCATCTTGTCATGTGAGCCCATGTGATAAAGTGGAGTGAGATGATTATGTGGGAAAAAGGAAGAGAGAGACTTGGGACCCTCGTTCTTCAGGATCTGAGAGAATGCATCGAAGGAACTCTTGTATTTGACAGCCTCACCAGAGGTCATCATCATTCTTCTCCGAACAGTATCAATTGGGTATGATGCAAGGCCAGCACCGTTGGTGATGACCCAACCAAGGGCAAAGCTAGCGAGAAATTATCCTGCAATTTTCCAGTAAGGACCACTGGCTTCAGAGAATCATGCATTCCAAAGTACAGACCACGATAGACAATGATCCCAACACATGGAAGCTGTGCCTCTGTCTCTCTGCTCGTGCGTAACCCATTTCCTTTGCTGAGCCATCAACACCCTTTGATTTCAACGCCTCTGCTTTCTCAATGAAGCCTGGTACATGTTTCATACTGCAACCGGGAGTGAAGGCGCCGGGAACGCCGAAGAGGATGACCGGCGGCGAGAGAGTGGAAGAGGTGGGTTGAACCATCAGGTGGATCGGTGCGGAAGGAACGAGATTGGAGTCGAGCAAGTTGAGAATACCAGCGCAGACGAGAGAGAGCTCGGACTCGACCTTGGATCTGTAGTCCTTAACCAAAACGACATGGTCATCGTTCTTGCGAGACTCCTCTTTCTGCTCGATCGAGGAGACAATACACCAGGCAGCACGGAGAGAGCCGATGACGTTCCTGTTTTCGTACAGCTTCTGCAAAAGTATCCGTCTCGCTTCAACAATCTCAGGTGTTGATAGAAGCTTGGCATCATGCTCATGCAGTCTTGGGAGCAACAAAATAAAATATATCATCCAAAATTTTTCTTCACTCAAAGAACTGCAGGTTTGATGCCTCAAAGCTGCAAAATTTGGGACCAGATCTTCAACAGTTGAAGCATGTTCTTTTTGAGCATCAGACATAACGCAATAGTCTGGGGCTTGATTCCAAAAATAGAGAAGGAAGAAAACCCATCATTGTTGCAGACATGATGTTCGACGAAATGTCCTAGAAGGATTTTGGGTTTGCTTCGGCGAGGTGGTGAAGAAGAGTGAATGTATGTGTAGAGAACTTTAGCGGACTAGGTTGAGGTCCGGCGGGCGGTCAAGGCAAGGTTGCCGCCCGCCGGAAGGCGAAGAACACCAAGATCTTTAACCTATAGCTCTGGTACCATGTAAGATAAATTGATAGAGAGAGAGAATAAATTATGTATATATTAATGTATTGAATGTTTTATTGATTGATATATATTACATGTTTACAATTCCTATATATAGAAGAGAAGAATAGGTAGTAGGTGGAGTAGGTGACGTGGGTGAAGTATGTGATAGGTTTTAACACACACCAACACTGACCCACCACATACTCCACACCCATGTGCATTCTCAGCCACATCACTTCTTTCTGAACAGTGTTTCAAACTATTTTCCGTGTCAATTTTATTT